TATTATTATCTCCAAAATATTCTTACATTATAAAAATAATTTCTGGCTTTAAAATAACCTGCAAAACATTGATATGCCGTAAGAAACTAATCAATCAAATACTGAATTGGTTATTTCTGTTTAGTGGCATATCAACACCTCTATGGGTTATTTAATGCCGAAATCGAAATATTTTGACCGGATTTTTTTTTTTTTTTTGATAATAATTGTTTTAGTGATGCAAGTTTTACACATAGCTGGATGAAGAAGTGGTGGGTTCATACCTTTCCCAATGATATTTGCGCGTAAGTGAATATAACGAACCCAACTGGAATTAGAACTCGTCACGCCGATTAACAATTCCGAGCCAGTATATATTGCACCAAACTTAAATCCAAGTTTAAAGCACCTGGTATTTCGAAGCGGTCACCAATCTAGCTACTGGGTCGGCTTAAAGTTGCGGGTAGGCAATCTTCATTCTTCTACCCATATATATATATATATATATATATATATATATATATATATATATATTATATATAATTATTTATTCGAAAATTATAACATAAATATGTTATAAAAACACTACAAAAATAGCCATTTTGTTTCAATATTTCTGATGTCTTATTAAGTGATGGTGTTGAATGTAGAATAAAGGGTTATATATATATATATATATATTAGCTGGCAACTCTTATTCGAGGATATCCGACTACTAGGGTGCCTAACCAGTCCCTATTGCAGACTGTCACTCAGACACATTTGTGTTTTGTTCAATACCCACAGAGCCCAACTGTGGGTAATACTGCAACTATGCCGAGCAGACCTTAGTTACAGTTTCTGGGAGAGAGCGTGTTATCTAGCATGATCAACATTCTGGACTCAAACCCGGTCACGATGTCGTGTGACTTCGTGCTAGCACAGCTATGGACAGCCTTGGATTGTTAGGGTTTTCAAAGATGGCGCACGTTGGGATCGTCCCTACTCTAGACCAAAAACATGACAAATCGGCCATTGTGAAATTCGAACCCGGGTCTTATGGGCGGAAAGCGAACGTTGTAACCACTCGGCCACGCGCCCATAAATCTACCTCCCACCAACCCATCTATCTATCTATCTATCTATCTATCTATCTATCTATCTATCTATCTATAGTATGATGAGTAAATCATCGACATTTTCATAGTAGTTTGTTTATATATATATATATATATATTGTTTATATATATGTTTTATATATATATATATATATTGCTTATATATATATTGTTCATATATATATATACTTTATATTATATATATATATTTATTTATATATATATATATATATATATATATATATATATTCTTTTATATCTATCTATCTATCTATATATATATATATATATATATATATATATATATAGTATGACGAGTAAATTATTGCCATTTTCATAGTAGTTTGTTTTGGAATTTGTCGACTGCAGTAGGTTGGGACTGTTGGGCACCGTCAGTCGTCAGTCGAAAAGAGATCACCATGACCCAATTTGGAAACGCTCCGGAAGACCCAATACGAACATTTCAGGGTGTTTAAGTGTCAATCAGAAGATAGGCCAGAGGATTCGGAAAGAGTTGAATGAATCAAATGTTGATTGCGTAGTTAGAGCAGCTCTGAAATCTCACTCTGACCGTTCTGATAAGAAAAGAACTTCCGAATTTGTTGATAAGGGCCCCAGATTCAACACTAAGGCTAACATCAAGTGTTTTGAAGAGAGAGTGCTACCCTGGGTCAAGAGAATGACTGCTGGAAGACCTAATATTTGGCAACAGGATTCTGCCCCATGCCACACAAGTAAGGGAACCCAATCATGGCTGTCAGACAATTTCTGCGGCCACATCACCCCTTACATTTGGCCACCTAACACCCCAGACTGCAACCCCCTTGATTATTACGTGTGGGGGCAGTTGAGCTAAAGACCAACAGAACTCTTTGTAACACCTATGATGAACTGAAGGCAAGGATTATGGCAGCATTCACCAACATAACCCGTTCAAGTCCACATTCGCGTAATTGATGTATACAACAAAAAGTATTGTTCGTTTCAGTAGAAATATCTAAATGACTTTAACTTAGAAAAATAATATTTTTTAATGTATTATTATAGATATAGCAATGGGGCACTAGTGTCCCAGCTGACATTTTGGTCCAAGGCTACTGGGACACATGTGTCTCAGGTGACCATGATAAACAGGGCGGTAAAAAGCATATACTATCAGTTTCAATGTCACTTTCTTCTACATAATCTGGATCCACAAATGAATCATCATCACTGAAATCTTCATCCATTTCTTGTACCATCTTACTTAAAGGGTGTTTCATTAAGACGGATCAAAATCAGCAGTAAATAGATCAGTGTTATTGGTAAAAAAATTATTTATTTCTTTGTTGAATCATGTTATTCAAGTCATGGCAATTATGTGTGAAAAATAATACTGACCAAATGTCCGCCAAGGCTTCGGCAGCACACCTCCACTCGATGGGCAAAATTTTTGATGACGTTTCTACATAGTTGATCCTCGATCTCACCAATATGCCTTATTATCTCATCCTTCAGCTGTTGAATTGTTGTTGGTTTGTTGGCATAGACCTTACTTTTGTGGTGACCCCCCCCCCCCAAAGGAAGAAATTTAAAGGCGTCAAGTTGCACGATCCTGGTGACCAAATGACTACGCTGTTTCGAGAGATGATGCAACCTGGGAACTTCACATTCAAATTCTGTTTGAACGTCCATCTTCGTAATAGGCTTCGATAACCTTAACACGTTATATAACCTTCTGTTAATCTTTCCATTGTTGAAATTGCGAAAGACGTAAGTTATTAAATCTGAAAGAAAAGGAAAAAATCATTAGATGCTTAAACTTAATTGACATTTAAAATCGGTCCAAATTATTGGAACACCCTTTATTTCATCTTCAGTCGTATGTCTGCAAATATGATTTATTGAAGAGTTACATATAATGTAGGCTAATAAACAAAATGAAAATAGGACCATAAAAGTCCGCTGGAACACATATGCTCCATTGTCAGTGCTCCTAAAAGGCTGGGGGACACTAGTGTCCCGTAACTAAAAAAAAGGACGCATTTTTTGTAAAATAATTCATTATTGGAACTTATTTCCCAGCTCTTATTTTGTATAATATTAAATCATACATATATACATAAAACTACATATAGAAATGCAACATTTACTGTGAACATACCATGTACTGCCGTTGGAATGGGAAATAATTTGAAACACTACTTCTTCCTTGGCTGTCACGTTTGATTGCAATCTCACTAAAGCGAAATGTTAGGCACCTTGACGTGGTATAATGGTTAGAAAGCTTGTCTTGCTAGATCAATTTTCGATACTCTCAAGGTGACCCATACTTTCGGCCTTGTGCCACATCTAAGCCACGCTCGGAACATCACTAAAGCGAAATGATGCAATAATTGTTGCGCGTATAAATGTCTGCTTTATACCATATCAATGCGTTTTGGGGACAATTATGTCCCGCAGGACGCGTTGAAAACATTTGTGGCACACACATGTCTCAGAGGACTCGAAAGGATTAAACAAGGAGACTGTTCAGAAGTGTTGCAGGAGATTTCGAAGTCGTCTGGAGGCCTTAGTTGAAGCCAATGGTGATTTTCTTGAATAAATTTAATTACATAAAAAATATATTTAATTACCTAAAAATATTTTAAAATACTAAAGTATTTCAAAATATTTTTTATGTAATTTTGGCAAATATATCTGTCAAAATGAAAAGCCAGTGATATCTGGGTTTTTTTGCGTAATTTAGACGACAATTTATCTATCGCACTATATATATAGGATTAATGTAAGTAAATGTATAATATTACTACTAATACTAATAATATATATATATATATATATATATATATATATATATATATATATATATATATATATATATACAAAATAAACAGTCCACATCAAATAAAATATCATTCATCACACAAGACAGTATTTTGAAGTGCAGATGATATAATTAATGCACACATATTATAGCCAGCGTTATCTGGATTTTTGCGTAATTTAGACGAGAATTTATCCATATATATATATATATATATATATATATATATATACACGAGATGGCTGATGAAAAACTCTCGGTCCGACCAAGGAAACCTTTTCCCAAACAAAACTGTTGTTTGGTTAAATGCCTCTGGCACTGAGCCTTTCAGCGCAACTCTAATATATTTAAGATGCCTGATAATATCGCCAAATCCATTAAAGAGGTTATACACAAGATGGAATAATGAATCTAGTATCCAAATAAAGTAAGTTTATTTTCCACCAAAATGACATGTTTATTTTTCAACGAAATTACGAGTTATTGCTATAAATATTTCCAAAGTCTCTGCACATTTTTTCCTTCAACTTATGAAAAATCGGTCTGTTTTACATTTGACCCGCATACACACACACACAGATATATATATATATATATATATATATATATATATATATATATATATATATATATATATATATATATATATTTATGTTTATGCATATGCATGTTTTTATTAATTAAACGTCAGATTTAGTAAATAATAGTATTTGAGCAAACGTTCGGTTTATTTATTAAAGAATATATTTATTTTCTTACTATTTAATAAATAATCGCTGCGTCTACTCAAATAATAGTATCCACTAAAATTAACGTTTAAGTAATAAAGATCTGTCGGATTAATAAATAAACTGTTCATCACTTCCTGTATACACACACACACACACATATAAAATTTGGGGGGGGGTTGTGGTTGTGTGTGCGACAACAATTTTGTCTTAGTAAAAAAAAAAAAATCCTGATGATGTGTTAATGTCGAAACTACCAGAAATAAATAGGTATCAACATGATAATTTTCTCTCTTCCTTTAATAAGGATACTAAGAATCTTATCCGAGAATATGAGAGGATGCTATTGAAAATAAGTAGACAAAACTTGTCGAAATTATTCAATGAGAC